AGGACGTCTAGTACCATGGAAAGCAGAATAAATTAGACAGCTCTTCCAGACAAGCTTTGACATGAATATCTGGGTGAATCAAGATTCTAAGTTTTTTTTTTAAGATTTATTTATTTTTATTGGTAAAGCAGATATAGAGCAAGGGAGAGAGACAGAGAGGAAGATCTTCCATCTGATGGTTCACTCCCCAAGTGGCTGCAACGGCTGGAGATGAGTCAACCCAAAGCCAGGAACCAGGAGCTCTTCCGGGTCTCTGATGTAGGTGTAGGATCCCAAGCCTTTGAGCCGTCTTTGACTGCTTTCCCGGGCCACAAGCAGGGAGCTGGATGGGAAGTGGGGCTGCCAGGATTAGAACCGGCACCCATATGGGATCGCAGGCATACAAGGCGAGGACTTTAGCCACTACGCTATTGTGTATGTCATTTCAATGGACCTTGGAATGATTTGCTCAACCTTGGAGCAATGAAATCGCCAGCATCTCAGAACTATGAAAACCACTTAAGTAGTATCCCAGCTCCAGTTCGGGGCCCCTGAGATGGCTTCAGGTGACTGTGCCCCATTCCTGGGTACTGATGCAGTTGTGCTGCTGGGAACGGCCCTCTCCCCTTCTCTTTCCACTTTCTCCAGATTCAGGAAGAGAAATGGAAATTGGAGGCAGCTGTCTGTCTACTCTCCCCCATTCCTCAACCTTCCCCACCCTAATGGGTGGTCCACATGGGCATGCATCCCTCTCAACTATGTACACATCACCAAAAAGAAAATGAATCTATTATTTTTTTTAAAAAAAGAGACTCAAAAAGGGTGTATAAACAATGATTAAATTGAAGGTCAAAATAAACCTTAGGAAATATGTGTGTTATAGTGGGACGTGTTGATTCTGAAGAATGACAAGATCCCAATCAGTATATCCAGATGACCTGTTTCCCTCTAACATTTTTCTAAACATCATTCAGTAGGGTAATTAATGGAGTCTAGTGTAAGGTCAGAGTCTGTTATTGTTATCCTCGAGAGCTGCACATTTCTTTTGTAAGCATCATTGGAGGCTTTTCAACTAAAGCCCTTAATCACCTTGCAAAAACTACAGAGTACACTCAGGGTAAGCCAGAGATTCTGGTCAACGAGTGTAACAGCTGCCCCTGGCCATGGCATACTGTGTTGCATTAGCTGTGTATAATGAGTCTTTATATACCATTTCTCCTTTAGTCACCATACCAAGAAAACGGACAGTGTCTCTCCCACTCATTAGTCTGATCTGATCTCAGTCCATGGCACAGTGACAAGGAGAACATGTTTCAGGGAAACATGCACTTTCTAGGTTCAGCAGGTAAGCATCTATTAAATGACATGTTAGGCTTGTTGACAGAGCACGAGCTAAACACTGGGAGGAATAAAGAGCTTATCGGGAAATTGGCACATATATGCATAAAAAAGAAAACAATGTAGGCATGGCGGCATGGCCTAGCAACTAAAAGTCCTCACCTAGCACGTGCTGGGATCCCATATGGGCGCTGGTTCTAATCCCGGTCACCAAGCTTCCCATCCAGCTCCCTGCTTGTGGCCTGGGAGAGCAGTCGAGGATGGCCCAAAGGCTTGGGACCCTGCACCCATGTGGGAGACCTGGAAGAGCCTCCTGGCTTCGGATCGGCTCAGCTCCAGCCATTGCAGCCATTTGCGGAGTGAATTAGTGGGTGGAAGATCTTTCTCTCTGTATTTCCTTCCCTCTGTATATCTGACTTTCCAATAAAAAGAAATCAATCTTAACAATAGAGAAAACAATCCAGACTTAATCACACAAAAGGGTACCAAAAATCCCACAAAACTGTTTGGCACACAATTTATAAGAGCAACTCAGTAAATCTTTAATTATTGGCTTAATGAAGGCAATTACTGAATAAATTAGTAAAAAAAGAAAACAAAAAACCAGTCACCCAACTAATATAGAAGGTATACTGACTTAAAGAATGAAAATAATCCAAAGAAATTTTATTAAGGACTAAGGTAGTTGCAAGGCTTCCTGACTAAAGCACGATTTGAGCAAGGCCTAGGAGACTCACACATATTTAAATGATCATGAAGCAGCCACAGTTAGTGGAAGGTTTACCACGAACAGGCAGAGCCCGCTCCACCCTTCGGCTACTTTTTCCCAGCCTTTTGCTAACTGAACTCATCTGCTCTCTCATAGCTAGCTTCCTTGTTCTCAGTAACTCTAGAAGCTGACACTGACTTTGCACAGGCACCTGTGGCTGGAATTGCCATGTCCCTGTCCTTTGAGGCGGCATGGAAAAATAGCGTTTGTCCTATGGAGCATTCTGAGATTTCGCAGAAATCATGACAAAGTATCTCCCACCTCCCAAAAGCCGCTAAGAGTGCTTCCCGTGGAAATCCTGGCACCTGGTGACCACCTCAAAACTCTCAGAGGGGCATTCCTCGCAGGTTCTCACAACCACCTTTCAGTCTGCTGCATCTCTCTGCCTTCGGGTCAGGGTCAATATGAACACAACTTCCTTTATCAACAGGGGCTCAACCTAAGACCTTGGGTTCCTCCACATGTGGAGGTTCTGTTTCCCAGACATCAGAAAGGCCTCTCCTGATTTCCTGAATCCTTCCCAGCTTGGCTTCTGTTGGAGATCCCTGAAGGTGGAATCACTTTGTAATTTGTCTCATGATAAATAGTTATCCCAGACTGGAGCTATGAATTAGTTGGTGTTCTAGAAAAAAATTCCTTTCTCCAGCCGAGCAGACAAAAACTGCTCATGGCAGTACCCTTCATAGCAAGGATTACTTTTTCACTCTGAAAATAAATAAATAAATAAAAGATTCCAAGCACCAGTCCAGATTCTGAGTTTCCAGGAACGATGTCAGACACCAGGTGCTGGGTTCAGTAGGATATCTGATTTTCCAAAACATGGCTCAAATTCACAATGAGCCGAGTGCATCCCCTTGTCTGGGGCAGAGGGACAGCTTCTGTTTACTGCCTTCCTGAGCCAGCAGCACCGACCTTGACAGAACAGATGAGCTGTTGTCCCATTACCTCAATGAGCAAAACAAAACTGCAAACTCTGTCAGCATACGATGTCTTGCATTTCCAGAACAGCGCTCCAACCCTCCAGGAACAAGCAAACACACAGAAAACTCTAAGAAACCAGAGGACAGAGGATGAAAGCCCAACCAGGGTGAGAAGTCAGATGAAGACCAGAGCCTAGAATGGCAAGGATAGCATTGAGGATCTGCTGCTAGTATTTAAATACGTAAATGAATAAATGAATGAATGAATGACTTTTGAGCACTTCCACTTTTATGCTGAAAACTGGCTCTACGGTTCTATGGAAACCATGCTCTCATAGAAAAAAGTCTTGACTTTCCTTGCTAAAGAGAACCCACCCTGTCCCAGAAATGGTAATGGAACAATAGCGCAGGAAAAGGGCAGATGAATGAGAAGGAAATATTTCTAATTACCAAACTAGAGCCTTCACTTGTGTGTTGATACAACTCCGGCTCAGTTCACTTGCCACCCTGTGGCATTCTTGCCTAACTGAAGTGGGTGGAGGAAGGCCTTATCCTAGACAGACGCGTGTTCCCTGAAGTGAACAGCCCCCCTAAGAGCGAGCTGCACGTGCCAGCCCTCCAGTGCAGAAGGGGCAGGTTCAGGACCTGGCACCGTGCAGCCGAGTGGCGCTGCTCCCAGAATTCTCTCCCAATAAAGAGCCATTGTGATATCCGAACCCTTCAATGCACAGGACAAAAAGCTCAAATGAAAGGCACAATGCAAGTGAGTGGGACCTAAAACTCGAATGAGCAGCAATCACTCGCTTAGAGCAGATCATGTTATTTTCCATGCAACTTCACCGAGCGATTCATCCCCTTGCCTTGCAGAATACTACAGACTTCCAATTAGCAGCTGATAAGTGAAAATGATTAGAGCAAAAATCATTCAACAGTATGAGTTACTAGGGAAATGGTTAGGGGAGGCTCAATAGGATCGAGACTCAAAATGAAGAGAGGAAAAAAAAAAAAACGGGAAAGTGAGGGAAGCACTGAATCACCACGTGTGTGATCTATCCAAACCGCGGCTGTAGAGTTGAGAAGTTGAGATTATACACAATGGGAGGGGAAACTAGAGCGCACCCAGGCTTGCAAACAGCTCTGATTTTTCCTTGGAAATGAGAATGACCCAAGCAGTGTGGCCAGAAGTCCAAACCCAGGTTAGCTGCACCTGTTGTGCAGCTGCTACCCGACTGTCAGTGTCGGATCCCAGATCCTGAACGTCAGCGCCTCGGCCCAAACGCTGAGGGTCCGGACGGAATCAGGGTGCTAATTTGGGCTCAGTCACAGTTTCCGTCCAGGTGACCCTCCCACGACAGCCAACCTTATACCAAATCAAAACAAATAAACCAACAGATGTTGCTCTTAGCTAAGGTTTTGTTCAAATGAAAAAACAGGAGAAAACAATAGAGTTGGGTCCTACATATCAAATGAAAAAGCTTTTTCACCTGTACGCATTCAAGAATTTCTCCAATTTTCAAATCAGTTTTTTTTTCTTTTTAAGTTCAGCCAACTCTAACTTTAGATTATTAGCCATTACATGAAAAAAAAAAAAAAAAAAAAGCTCAGTTTCAAACGACCCTCAGTATCTGGAGCTTGGAACCAGTAACAAGATCTTAACAAAGTCACTTGCTCCACTGACTTTCTAAAGTATAGTAATATTTACTGACACATGACATTTTAACCACAATATCCTCATGTATGTGAAAGCATACACACATTTCAACAAGACCATTTGATTCAGTGTCCCGCCATCATGTGTCTTTCATCATATTTGACCAGCAGGGTTCTACTTCCGTAAACAATCTATAAGATAATGGTTTATTTTAAATGTATATCACTATTTTCTTTCAATTTATGACACTTTTCTTTTGAAGTGGGTAGATTCCATCTGATTGAAAATAGATATGAATATTTTCCAGAATCCACAATTGTAGGCACTCATGCTGTCAACTCACCAGAATTCAGTAAAATGATTGATTTGAGGCACACAAACTCCTCTCCCTGCACATTCATCATACGGAACCGAGTCGACGTCGCCAGCAACATGTCAAAGATCTCCACCAAGCCCTCCACACATTTCCCCTGGTTCCTGTGAAAGTACAGGGAAAAAAGTGTTAAGGAACAAACAAGCTTCTGTAAACAGGATCAGATTTACATTCACAAAACTACAGCCCGTTCTTAGAGCACAAATATTTATTTTAATCAGAGAAGGTGATAAAAAGGGGGTTTTATATAAAAAATTTTTAATTCTTGGAAGAGATTTATTGTTAAATTCAAAAAGATACCACACTAAATACGGATGATTTAACAAAAGGGAGGATAATCAAAAATGACTGGAGTATAAATGATTTTTATCATACTCATTTATTCAGCTACGACTATATTCTAGACAATGTGGTAGTTATGGGAAGAAAAATAAAACCTCTACTCTCAAGATGATAATGGCCTTGAATTAGCATTGCAAGTCCTAAGCAACGTATTCTGAAGTGCTTTTGAAATGCAAGAAAAATGACAATAACTGGAGAATGATTGGGCTACAACCACTGATATTGCAGAAGATGATAGGCAAAGATGTGCCTACTAAGTGCTATTTGAATTGACATCTTAAAAGGATGCAAGATTTCATGAAAGAGGTGTGCCTGAACCGTGGAAGTGGGTCCTAGGCAACCCAAGGAGGAGCAGCATGAATGAACACGGAGCCGTACGCTGGAGGGAAGGACCTAGGAGATGAAAATGTCAGGCGAGAAAGGACCTGCTGCAAACTTTGAAGATTCTTCGTAGGAGAGCCTTACAATTAGGATTTAGCATCCATAGTTGCAAACTTTTATATATTTAAAATCGATGTTCCTTGCCATGTAATATTTAAAAATGTAAATGTCACTGTCTTTCCCTATGTTTGATTCCTGTATTAGTGAAATACTATGTATGAAAGAATCCATTCATTTCTTGTTGCCATTTTAAATGCTGAATGTGATTTATTTGAGGAAATCAGAAAAGAGTTAAAATATCCTATATAACCAAGCATATGAAATATGCAAACATTTGAAACATCAAAACAAAACGCATTGTTTATATACTTATGTTTTAATAGGATGTGAATCTCATAATCAACTGTTTAAAACAAGTAGATTATTTCTTTTTTTTTTTACTTAAAATGGCACATTTTTAACACTTTTTCTGGGCCTACATTTTATTGTTTTCAAGGATTTTACTGGTACAGAATTTCACTTAATGACTATCCTTTTGTCTTTGGATATAAATAGTTATAGCAAAGTTACTACAGATAAAATTGCCAGACCAAAGGAACTATGTATTTTTAGTTTTTATAATTCAATTGTTGCTTTCAAATTGTTTATACCAATAGCTTATTGATTGGAGAACATATTCACATTAGCTCTTTCCCTGAGATGTCTCCTCCACTTCCCTGCCCATATTGTTCTGGTAGGCTATTGGTCTCTTTCACATTGATTCTGAAGAGTTATTTATATATGATGGCAATCAGTCCTCTCAAATATATTTTGAATGTCTTTTTCTCATCTTTAATCTTTCATCTTTTATTTTCTTTCACAAAACAAAAACTGCTTGGCCCAGCACCATCTAGCTCCCTGCTTGTGGCCTGGAAAAGCAGTAGAGGACAGTCTGTAGCCTTGGGACCCTGCACCCATGTAGGAGACCTGGAAGAAGCTCCTGGTTCCTGGCTTTAGCTAGGCTCAGCTCCACCCACTGCGGCCACTTATGGAGTGAACAAGCAGCTACAAGATTTTTCCCTGTGCCTCTTCTTCTATGTATCTGCCTTTCTAATAAAAATAAAATATCTTTAAAATTTTATTTCAGAATCAAATGCAATAAATTTCATTCATGGATCTAGTTTATCTTTTTTGCATAGATTATCATTCTTTTAAAAATAAATGAGTATCACATTTCCTTCTAGTATAGTTTATCTTTAAATCTTTGTCCTAATGAATTGGATGTATGAATTTTCAATAAAATCTTTACTGTGCTACAATGATATAACTTGCAATTCACTTACTTAAACAAAAACATTCCAGATGGTTTGTTTATTCACAGAACTGCATTGCCGTCAACTGGATTATTTTGGTGTAAAACACAAGGCAAGGATTCAGCTTAATATTTTCTCCAGGTAGCTATGTGTTACTTATGGAATGAGTCATGTTTTTCACACGGGCTTGAAATATGGTATATAGTTTTAATTTGCTTCCTAAAATTGATTTCTAAGCTAAGCATTAATTTTCCGAATAAGGCAAACCACATTGTCTCCAATAGGAAGAAAGGATTCCAACAGGATGGCTTTGCCTTCCTTCCTACATACAATTTATTTAGAGGCAGTTGCATTCCATTCCTTGTGCTAGACATTTGATACAGAGACTGAAATCACGGGTGCTTTCATAAAGAGATGTAAGTCAGAAAAAGACAAACAAGAAGTAAAACAGAGGCAGTGCCATGGGGTACATCTCCAGAAAAAGTATAGAAAGGAAGTCTCTAAAATCAAATGCTAATTCTCCCGAGATCAACCCTTGATAATACTGAAGCAACTACCACAGCATTCTCAGAACAGTTAAAATGAGTTTTCACATGAAGTGTTTAGACTGAAGCGTGGCAGTGGGACTCACCTTAATCATTAGCTGTAGCTACAGTACGCACACATATAAACTTATAGACTTCAAGGGAGAATTTGACCTTTTTATCTTTAGTATTAAGGAAATAACTGTGGAAATCGGGACCCTCCGGACCAGCAATGTCTGAACACTCTCATTGCAGAGACAAGGATGGTCACACGAAAAGGTCATACAGCCCTATTTAGACAGGGCCTGAGAGAAGCTGGGTTTTGGTCAGGTATCTGATTTTCTTTTTAAAAAATGCATTTTCTTTGGAGTGAAAAAAATAAACAAGGAAGAGAAAAATGTTTGGAGCATGGAGCTTTAAAAATAACAGCTCACAGCCAAAATAGAGAAATGTTCCTTTCTCAGGATAAAACCTCTGTTTTCTTAACAGACTGTACACCGGCAGGGGGGGAGATCTCAGTGTGGGAGGGAGCCTGTGCTTGCCCGCTGTGAGCAAAAGTTCAGCTCCAAAACTGAGAAAGTGGATTCTCAATAATTTTCTCTTCTTGTACCTTTTCAACAGTCTTGCACATTTTCCCATGAGGAGCTGGTCTTAAGATCTTCCACTGGGGGAATATTTTTCTCAGCCCTGTCTCAGTGGAATTTTGTTATTCCCGACCAGGGACTGTGCCTGTTGACACTGGAATCCTTGTTCAGCCAGGCACGTTCTAAGGTGTGCATGTGTCCTCAGACACAGGTGTACTACAAGTTAAACTCAGTTCTCCACACATGGATGCATATGTGGGCGTGTCTATTTTCTCCACGAAGGTGAAGGGAACAAGTGGTGACCATCTGTCAATAGAGACACTATTATGGGGGACACTCCAGGCTGCCTTCATGCGACCAGGTCATGCTGCATGTTTTGTTACTGGATAATTGAATTTGGAGAGCTCCTGGAATGATATTCAAGGCAGCGAAATCATAGTTTCTAAGCAATGATATATGGCAGGCCAAAGAAGTGTACCCTGATGACAATGTGAGAATGAATTCATTAGCCTTTGCAACATAAACAGCAAAGTTGGCCCAAGTACTTCAGCCAATCCACTATTTGTGCAATAAATGAAATGGTGGATTTTCATTTTCCTGATGAGATTTTCATTAAATTATTAAAATTTTGCCTGAATCCTAATGACTGGATGCTTATGCCACATCTGCTTGTCTCTCAGGTATGTGATTACAAGGTGAAAAACCATGTCATCAAAGCTGAGGAACAACGGATAAACCAACATACGACATCTTGGATGAACCTATGTGGACTTTGCAAGTTACCAGTCACTTACATGACACAAAGAATCCCTCCCCATCAGTTGCAGTGAGTGCACAGTGTGATCAGGACCTCATTTCTCAAGTCCTATTAATAGTGTATAGTGCTTTTCGAGAGCAAAGTAGGCCAGGATAGTTAGCTCCATTTCAGAGGGAAAGGGTGAACTGCTGCAAGCAGAATCTAAGTGATAACTCAGGATCGGGGGGTACTATTTGTATAAGCCAAGGTGAGTCTTAAAGCTCAAAGCTGGTCAGTGTGCAGGTTGTGGAAAAACAAGATGGTTTTTACAGAAAGCACAGCTTCAAACACAGATCAGAAAACAGAGCAGACTCCATCTCCCACTGTGAGACGTGACAGCCTGCACGGAAGGACTCCTCCTCCAATAATATCAGTCTGGTGTGCTGCGTGCCACAAAATCCCCTTGTGGGGAGTTGTTCATCCACGTATCCTCTCCAAATGCTGTCCATTTGCACTTGGGTAATGGGGAAAAGAACAGGACCGGAAAGAGTGCTTGCCCACGGTATGCCCTGGAAGTTTCTCCTCTATAAAACTGAAAGTTTATTTTCCCTACATCCCTAAGGTACCTCTCCCAACATAAGAGAAATAAAGAGCTCTAAGGAGCACGTAACCAAACTGCACTTGTAAGTCTTCAAAAATACACCTTATAAACTTGTCCATGAACTTGTCAGTATAAAGAAAATCGCAAAGTGCAAGCAGAAAATTCAGCGGATGAATCCACTATATTTAATGCAGATATCCCATAAGAAAGCATCATAAGATTAGGAAAGAGACGTCCCTTGAAATCAGTGGCAAGATTATTTGTAGGTGGATGCTACAAAATCTCTAAGCCAGTACTCTGAAAAACTGATTCGCTAAATGTAAGAGCAAGAGGTTTATATCTGTAACTCTTGGAAGCATTAAAAAAAAGTGCTAAAGATGGAAACCTGTAAACTGTATATATCTTGAAAATTAAAGAAAAGTGGTTCAGATTGCGGAGTCCAACTGCCTGAGTTTACGTCCCGATACCATCCCTTCCATTTTTTTTTATTTTTAAAAGTTTATTTATTTTTATTGGAAAGACAGATTTACAGAGAGAAGGAGAAACAGAGAAAAATATCTTCCATCTGCTGGGTCACTCCTCAAATGGCCACAAAAGAAGGAGATGCACCAACCTAAAGCCAGGAGCCAGGAGCTTCTTCTGGG